TAGTCATGAATTTGAAACTTATTTCAAAATTTAGATTTCCTTGTCTTTATCGCAGTTGTCGCTATCAAAGAGCAAGAGAATCAGAGAACTTTAATATGTAAATCGAAAATATGTCAGCGTAAATCGCAAAGACATCTCGTGGATGACGGAGGAGGTGACGTGCCCTTGTTGGATTTACCTAGGACGACCTAGGAGCGCATGCTCGGTTTACTAGGAAGGCGGCGCATCTCAGACGGATGAGGGGGGTAAATTGAGAAAGTAACACGGATCCTCCCACTTCAAGGCAGTTGATGTGGACCTTCAGCAAACAACTGCCTGACCTCATGACCACCCTGACTCATAGGCGCCCAGCCACACCCATGAGTCCCATGGGTAATATTCATGTACGAACTATAATACCCTCGTCCTACCCACATACTTTAGGGTACAACGTGTAGAAGATGTACAATAACCCATTCCTATAAATAGAGGGTCCATTTCATGAATAAATTTTACACAAATTTACTATTCATTACTGTGCTATTGCTCTCCCTTTTCTCTCTACCATACTTCCAACACTACTGGTGTTATAGATTTGGATTCAACACTCAACCATTTGAAAAAAACAAGGATCACATTTACCCTGCAAATCAATTTGGTGATTTGAGATTCAAACTAATTTTTTGTCTTCATTATTGGTGTTTTAAAATGGGGTTGGTGGATATCCTTGTTGTTGTATCAAATTATGAGGTTCTTTGACACACATTGTAGACTTTTTTACAAGGACATGGTACCAGGCCCTAGGTGACCATGTTTGATTATGTGAATATCTCGAAGTGACAGTTTGAATCCCAACAATTTACATCCGTTTTGACAACTCCTTTATTGGCCTCTGACACCATTATTTGGGTGGGTTTCAAACATCACATCAACCACGACACTCTAGTAGTTGTTGGGGAAGGACCTATTGCCCCTTCTTTTGCTCAACCTATCAACCAAAATTTATATAGCAAAAGTTCTAATTGATTTAATTTAGGATTTTTTTTTGAGTTTAATTTTGGTATAATCCTACATAAAATTTGGTCTTTGGATCTTTTTTGATTCACACCCTTGATATTACCATAATGGCTTGTATCTCAGGGTCCATGACAATTTATTTACACACTCCTTCAACCGAAGGGAAAATTATATATTATGCCTACAACATGTTTACATCCGTGGCCTTGGAGAAACTTGTGAATGCTCGTGGCGCGGTCCTAGTCTTGAAAACAAAGTGCATATCACTATTACTTGCAAGGCTGCAAGGGAAGTTTTGAAACATCTTGACAATTGAGGATTTATATGCCTGCAATTTTAGTCATTTGAAGATCTTTAAGATCAACTAAGCACTATACAGAAAGCCAATATCTGTTTAGCTTGGATCTTTTGCCATGCCATCCATCAATATTGGAGATCTTGAAATGCCAAAAAGCATGAATGCACGCATGCTACACCCACGGTGATGGTAGCCACGGTCCTTTAGGCCCTTGCCAAGAAACTTTTTTGATTTCGGAGCACCGACTGTCTTCTAACACCTCTTGGCGCTCCCAACAACACTGCCCCCGCCTCGGGTTGGATTAAGGTTAACATTGATGGTGTTCTCTTGAAAAACTAGTTGGTCGACACGGGAGTGATTGTTTACGACTAAATTGGCCAAGGCCTTGGTGCAGCAGGCAAGCACATGCTTCATTGGGTTAGTGGAAGAGTGGAGCTTAAAGCGATTGTTTCCATTAAGCGCCTTTTTTATCCATGGATGACTGAGACCAATGGTATTATTATTGAAGGGCATAACATCAACATCGTTACCTTTTTGTGGAAGACAATGGAGCAAGGCAGTTGGAAAGGCAACCCCGAACTTTGTGATGTGTTTTCCTTTTTTAGACAAGTTATTTTTCATTTTTTTCTTCGGTAGCTTAATTGAGCTGCCCATTTTTGTGCCCCAAAGGGCTCTTACTCATTGTTTTTCTTTTGGCCCAATTCGTGAATCGTTGGAGCTTTTTGCCATACCCTGAGAGGATAGGGATGCTTTTGCTTAAGTCCGAGGTTTTTTTTTTTTTTTTACTTTTTGGCACTCCTTTTTATGTTTAATGCAAAATGCACACCCTTCATTGGTTCATTGAAAAATGTGGTTTCCCTAAAGGTACATCTAAAAGGCCACTATTACATGGTCATTGAGGGGGTGTTTGGTAGCATAATTTACGGTGGATTTACATGTGGATTTAACGTAAATCCACCAAACACATTTTTTTCTCCTTTAAATTTGTTAGTCCGCTTAAATCCAATAACTACATTAATTCACATTTACTAAATCTAATCCGGAGGTGGATTTAAGGACCACGTGCTTCGTTTTTCCTTCGCAGTTGGCTTACTTGATGCATATCTCATCGTCGTAGAGGAGAAGAGTCGAAGCTGGCTGCCTTCGCTTGCCTTGCCGCTCGCCGCAAGCCACCTCACTCGTCTTCATAGGTTGAAACCTCACATACATCAATCCCACTCTCCTAGTACGTTTCCTCTTTCTAGTCTCTGTCCAGAACCCTAGTGTATGTCCCTCCCCCTCTTGGTTTTGCCCAAAACCATCACCTTTTTGACGGAACCCTGGCGATACAGTCGCGATTAGAGCTTAGCTGGAAAGTCAACAATGGGACTCAATTTAACTGGATTTGTTCTTTCTGATATACTCATTTATGTGCTTCTGAAGTGTGTCTGTGTTGGACACTTTGGGAATCTGCCCTTATTCTCTCAACTTTCAGATTTGCAAATCATCTATGTTAAATCTTGAAAGTAAATGCTAAACATTAGTTACAAATTTAATTGGGTTTAAGGAAAATAATACCAAATGCAAAAATTGGATTTAACTTAATTGAATTTAATAAATCCAGATTTACTAGATTCAGTAAATCCTACTCAAGTTAAATCCAACAGAAAGTTAAACACCCGCTGAGGCTGATATGGTCTACTAATCTCATATTATTTGATTCTTTAACTAAATATTTGCAAAAATAATTCTTAAAATAACCTCAAGTTCATCAATGACTATGATTTTATTGATATTCCATCCAAATGCCATTCTCTTTCGCCATCTTCTCAAATTGTGCTAAGAGCTATATAGCACATTTTTTATCAATCCTAATGAGCTTGTAGGAGTGTCTATATCAAGAGCATATATTAGTGCAAGTGAGCAAAACTTCATTCTAAGCATTTGATCAACATGAATATATTTTTGGAGAAAAAAATGTTTATTCATTTGTGGTGATTATCCACCTGAGATACCTTTTATTTTATCCATAAGTTAATCCTTTGTCCAAAAATATGTTGTATTTTCTTGAGCTACACTAAACATTTTCACAGTTTGGCTCCACTTTTTTTTTATGGTTTATTTAAATTTTGAATTATTACTAGTTTCTAACATGCAAAGGAAAAAGAATTATGACTTGAGCTAGATTTGAATTTGAGTATGAAACATGGATTTTTGCTCACTAGAGCTATTATCCAACAATAATACTTGGATAGATAATGCTTTAAAGATTTTTGTTGATCAAGTCCTTTGCTTTTATTGATTATTTATTCTAGCATTGCTTTATGGCTAAATAGGAGGCCCACTTTTGGTATTTTTGTGAGTGATATAAAAAGGCATGACTAGTTGTGCGTGCTCTCTAAGGATTAGAATTTACAGGAAAGAGTAATTGGGATATCATAATAAAATCAGAGTTGCTAAAAGCATTTTCTTTGAGGCATCCAATGTTTTTTGAGTTACAAGTTTAGTGCATTGGCATTACTAGGTTCTACATTTGCATTATAACTGGATGCGATGTGCTTTTGATCTACACATCTTGTAAATATTGTTTTATGCAAAAATTTTATTCTAGCCATATAGACTATAAATGAGTTAGATGTAATATATAACCTATGAATTTTCAAGGAAAAAAACAAATTGCTTTTTGAATCACTTATATATATGTGACTCTCTCTCTCTTGTCACTATATATATATATATATATATATATATATTCATATTTATATATTGATATAAGAGAGAGAGAGTCATATATATAAGTGATTCAAAATGCAATTTATTTTTTTCCTTGAAAATTCATAGGTCATATATAGAGGCAGAGCGAGTTTAAAAATGATAATTTCATTTTTATTTCTTTTTGGTAAAGTTGATATTTTTGTTTTATTTCATTGTACTTCTTAGGAATTTCTATGAGGGGGTTTGAGCAAGTTTTTAATATCTTGTATTTTTAGCCAGTTTTATTTCTTTTTTTTTCAATTTAAGAGCTTTAGACGATAACGATATCATTAATAAGAGCTAGAGAGATAGAGAGGGAGCTTAAAAATGATCATTTCATTTTTATTTTTTTTGGTAAAATTGATTTTTTTTTCGTTTCATTGTACATTTTTGGACTATCTATGCACGATCAAGGGGGCTTTGGCAAGTATTTTAATTTTTTGTATATTTAGCCAGTTTCATTTTTTTTTCCAATTTAAGAGCTTTAGGTGATATTGATACCAATAATAAAGCTCAAATTGATGCTTAAATTTGCTTTGAAGTCTTGACTATATGCATACCATTTACGACCTTCTCAATTATTTCTTTTTTAGAAACTCATGGTCTTTAGCATGTGCTATTTAATTTATTTATTCATGCTACACTTACATGCAAATGATTATTTTTTGGTTCGTAAATGTTGTATTTGCTGAATTAATGAAAATTTGTAATGAGGTTGGAGCGCATGTTTAATTTCTAAATCAATAATGTAAAGAAGTTCAAATGGGGGTTTACTTTTTTATGAAACGGTTCTAATGATTATATTTAATTTTCTTTGGATTATATTTATTTTTTGAATTGCTTGATTGTTTGTAAATTTATAACATTGTTGCTAAATTTTTTATTATTGATTTTTTCATTATTACCAAATAAGATTATGTACCATCACCATGTATAATGACTCAGTTCTTAAGCTCCAATATAATTTTATTAGGAGTTGAAGAAATGTCAGGAGGGATTGCACGAGGGCGTCTTGCAGAAGAACGCAAAGCATGGAGGAAAAATCATCCTCATGTAATACTCACATTATCACTATTTATCTATTTCATGGTTTTTTTAAATAATCAAATATGCTAAGTGAACTAATGTAAATAAATAATTATTTACTTCTTGCACGGTAGGGTTTCGTGGCAAGACCAGAAACATTACCAGATGGTACTGTCAACCTTATGGTGTGGCATTGCACTATACCTGGAAAACAAGGGGTAAGTTTTGATTCTTTTTATGCATCATTATAAACTCTTTTTCATATTTTCTTGTATTTTTTCAGTGCTTTCTTTTGGCATAGTGTGCTGGTATGCTACTGTTGGATGTATTATTATTAATATTATTTTTAATCTCATGCATTTTGTTGAATCTAATTTTAGAAGACAACGCAGTTTACCAAATTTTAGTTGTTATTTCAAGTTTTTTCCTTTAGTTGTTTCTTTTTTTCTATTTTTTAGCCTATATTATTTTGCTAAGTTTTAAATTGCAAATTTGGGAGTTATCTTTCTATATATGCTAAACTAAGGGATTATGGGTGTAAACAAGAGCCAAATTTGAGCGAACACAAGTGTTCAACTCATTGAAAAAATTAGTCTAATATGTAAGAGATTTGGGAGTTTCTTGTCTTACTAAACTTTTTAATATTATTTTAAAAACTAAAAAGATGCCTGAGGAGTGGAGAAAGTGTATGTTGATCCTCATTTTTAAGAATAAAGGGGATGCACAAGAGTTTGCAAATTATAGAGCAATTAAATTGATGTGTCATACTTTAAAATTATGGGGACGGGGTAATTGAACATAGTTTAAGACGTATTATAAAGATTTTTCATAATCAATTTGGATTTATGCCAGACAGGTCTACCATGGAAGCTATACCATGGAAGCTATACATTTATATACATTTATTGAGAGGTTTGATGGAAAAGTTCAGAGATAATAAAAATGATCTACATTTGATTTTTATTCATTTAGAAAAAGCTTACCTTAAGGTTTCAAGAGATTTCCCTTGGAGAGTTCTTGAGAAGGAAGGTGTTGATATGACTTATATTTAAGTCATTAAAGATATGTATACTAGAGCTGTTACTTATGTTCGAACTGAAGGATGATTGACCAAATATTTTCTTATTTCTGTTGGATTACATCAGGGATCGACTTTAAGCCCATATCTTTTTGCTTTAGTTATGGACAGGTCTACTGTGGCAGATATGCTTTTTGCTGATGTTATTCTTCTCGTGGATAAGATGAGAGAAAAAACCTAGGAAAAACTTGAATTATGGAGGTCTACATTGGAGTCTAAAGGCCTTCATTTGAGTAGAACTAAAACAAAATACATGAAATTTACTTTTAGTAGTAATAGCTCTAGTGACAAAAGTGTAATTTTTGGTGATCAAATTATTAAAAGATGTGAACGATTTAGATATCTTGGGTTTGTTGTTCAAAGCGATGGTGATATAGATGGGGATGTTAATAGTAGAATTCATGTTGGTTGGTTGAAGTGGTTGAATGCTTCGGGCCTTTTGTGTGTTAGAAAAGTACCGCTTAGACTGAACGAAAAATTTTATAAGATGGTAGTGAGACCTGCAATGCTCTATGGCGCTGAATGTTGTCCTTTAAAAGTGAAGCATAATACTAAGTTAAGTTTTGCCGAGATGAGAATGATTAGGTGGATGAGTGGCTTTGCACTTAGAGACAAAATGCAAAATGAATATATCCATGATAGGGTTGGTGTAGCTCCAGTGACGAAAAAAATTAGAGAGAGTTGTCTTAAATGGTTTGGTCGCATTAAATGTTGACCATCTGATGATCCGATTAGGAGAGTAGATGTTTTAAATTCGACTTGTGCAGAGGTAGACCTAGGAAGAATTGGGCTTATTGTATAAAAAATGATCTTAATTTATTAGAACTAGATGAAAATATGACACTAAATAGGACGCAATGGAGAAAAAGGATTCATGTGGCCGACCTCACGTAGTGGGATTAAGGCTTTGTTGTTGTTGTTGTATTTGTGTTTTGCTAGTTTATTTATTGAGTTGAACATGAGTTCATGAACATCAATAGTAGTTCGATTTAGAAACCTTTTATGTGATAGAATATATATATATATATATATATATATACACGCGCTCGCGCACTCACACACACAAAGAGGGAAGTACGCAGAAATGAACGGGAATATAACAACTCATACAATACAACACACACAAAAAACTCACATAAAGCAAATATACAAAAAAGTAAAAAACCAGAAAGCCACAAAAGGGCACAAAAGTGCTAGGGACGTCCCACTTTAGTCCTCCTTCCTCTAGTTTTTGGAAATGAGCCGGCTAACAAATTGGTAAGGTGTGTCCTATTGCCCGTAGTAACCAAAGTATCATCCATCAAATTCCTGAGCTCAAGTAGATTTTCATTCTTCTTCTTCCTCCTAAATGTATAGACCTGTCATTCCTCATCCGATGATTGACTCATCTGATCAGTAGATTCCAAAGGTGGTCGGATAGGTGAAGGTCGTTGCACGTCTTGATCCCCATGAACCTGAGTAATATTAACATCCTTCTAGACCTGATGATGCGGTTGTGAAACAGTAGAAGTATTTCCACCTATATTATCAGTGATAGGTTTTAGGGCAGGTGGGGTCTGAAGAAACTCCCTCTCCCCCACGATAGAAGGTTCCAAAGACGAGTGAGCTACAACTGGGGATTGAATAGCTGTCATATTGCCTGCCTGATCAGAAGGAGATGTAATCACAACCATTAGCAGAACAGTTTGCTTTTTTGGTCTGAGGTGGGGGTGTAGATAGTGACATTGAGATATGGAGTGTTCGAACATACGACAGTTCGAACTATACGATGTAAAATGTTCAATCTCTACCTTCTGCCAATATCCATGATGTTGTGTGCCCAACCTGATTTCCTCAGAAGCGGGTGAAGTGATGTCTCTTTCAACAAGTACTCTGGCTTCAGAAGGACGAGACAGATTAAAAGTAGGAATGTCCGTCTTGAGTGGCTTCCCATAGGCTGAGGCAATAGAGTACAGTATATTTTGAGAAAAATAATGAAATTTCAGACCAGGGAGACAATTCCAAACCGGGAGACAAATCCAAACCGGAATGATTGACGGTTCCTTCTGTGGGTCAAAATCCACAGACCACTTCAGAATCTTCATTGCTCTGTTATCAATCCATATTATTCTTCTAGCAAATAAACGCATGTAATCTTCTTCATTGCTAATTTAAATAAGAATGTGTCTCCCATCTAATAACCCGATTTTTCATTCTCCAACAAGGTGCATAAGTTCAAATTTTTTGCGAATGAGCTCCATTTTGCGATGACCATATGGAAATTTCCCAACCAAATTCATACGACAAGAGGAAGCAAGTTGAATACCTTCAGCTTCTGTAAAAAAGATGGCAGACTTCTCATTTTTCCTACCAGGTTTCTTGATGTCCTCCACCCACTCAAACGAAGAAGGGAATAATGATGATTTTGGTGTGCCTGAGGCATGGACACCAGTAAGGGCAGCTGCATAAGATTTGTCTGAAGACATCTTCGAAGATAGTTGTGACTTTTAGTGAAACTAAGAAAACATCGCGTATGCGAAAAAGAAACAGCAAGCGGCGAGACGACCGCAGAGTACGTGAGCGGGGTGAGATGGGACGAGACGGGCCGCAGAGCACGCGAGCGGGCGATCAAGCTTAACATGCGAGCGAGTGATCGAGCGCAACACGCGAGCGGGCGAGACTTGTCTCAGAGCCGGAAGAAGCGGGGAGACGAAACAGAGTGCGAAGAAGCCGAGAGGAAACAGTGAAGCCGAAGCCTTAAATGTTGCTAGGGTTCGCCATCGGGCAAAACCCTAGCAGAGCCGAGCGAGGAAGATATATTGTAGTATTAATATATATATATATATATATATATATTTGAAACGCAAAAAATCATTTTATATAAATATTAGAAAAGATACATAAATGTTGTATGAGATGACCCAATAAAGACACCCTACTCATACAATACCAAGTACAATACTACACCAATAAAAAGATACAGATAGACTCAAAAAAATTTAAAACATGCATAAAACAAGTAGCTAGGGACGAGTCAGTTTAGTCCTGCCTCGTCCTTTAGTTTTCGAAGCGAAGCCAGATAACAAAATTTGAAGTGTCATGTCATTGCCAAGAGTAACCAAAGTGTCATCCATTAAGTTTCTAAGTTGGAGTGTGCCCTAATCTTCTTCCGTCGAGAAGTGTAAACCTGTCATTCTTCATCTGAAGACTGGTTCATGTGATCCTCGGTCTGATTAAATATTAGAACTGTAGTAGAAGGAAAGACAGTCGTTGTCACAGTGATAGGTTCCAGTGTATATGAAGTGTGAAATGTCACCTCTACACCTGATGATTCCTGAATAGGAGCTCTGAGGCTGTTCTGACTAGTATGATCAGGAGAAGGGCTCCCAGGGGCGGACATCATTTTCTATTTTGTGGTGATTCCCTCAGGTTGGTTGTCATCAGGTTCACTGGAGTGCGTTCTGGCACATGGGGTGCACTAACATGTTCCTGTTTTTTACTATTGATTCTTAACTGTGGGTGCAATCTGAAACATTTCTCTTGCGGGTGTCCAAACATCTTGCAATGCTTGCAGTAGTAAGATTTTTGTTTTATAATGATTTTTTCCCAATAACCATTGTGAGCAGAGCCAAACCAGACTTCTTACATCTGGTAGTGTAATATCTCTGTCAATCAAAATCCTTGCAATAGAGGGCCTTGGGAAATGAACTGTAGGTGTGTCTACCTGCAAAGGTTTTCCAAGAATAGTCTCAATTGCATATAAGATAGATAGGTCAAAGAATTGAAGCATAGGTCAAATAGATAGGTCAAAGAATTGAAGCTTGAGTTCAAATAATGAGATCCAGATAGATGCAATTGGGGGTTCTTGATTGAGATCAAAATCAGGGGTCCATTTGAGCAATTTCATATGATTGTCCTCGATTATGATGAATTTCTTTGAGAAAATATGAATTTCTTTGAGAAAATTATTTCTTTGAGAAAATCCTTGTGTAATCTTCTTCTATGCTCAGCTATATCATAACATGTCTTCCGTCGAATAGACCCAACTGCTAATCCCCAACTAGTTTGAAATTTTCAAATATCTTTCTGATAATCTTCGTCTTAGGGCGACCTAATTGGAACTTTCTAACTAGTAAAAATTTATGTTTTTCTGCACGAGTT